TTCCACGGGCTTAAGAACTTGTAATGGATAATAATATTAATTCCACGGGCTTACGCACTTGTAATGGATAATAATATTAATTCCACGGGCTTACGCACTTGTAATGGATAATAAACAATTTCTTTTTCTTTGATGAATTACAAAAGCAGGATGCAATTGACGAGCGACATTTGGAGGGCACGTACTGTATACAAAATTTATTAGCCTTTCTAACATCAAATTGTTTTTTAGGATAGTTTATCTAGTGTAATTCTAAATCCTTGTTGTCCAAAAGAAATTAATTAAGCACACACATCATCATATTATAATTTATTTCCTTTTCATAAAAATTTTTCATTTGTCTTTATTTATTTTTTTTTGACGTATGGCTGTTTAGAAATAGAAACCATGTAACGCGATATTTACCGCACATATTTGTGATTCTTATATTGATGCAGTTAATATATTTATTTGAGAATATTTTTCTTTTGTAAGACTTTTCACATTTTTAGTGATTGTAACATATTGTAACGGGGAATGCCGATAAAAAATCCCTTGCTTTGCATAGTTCTGTATTCTCGAGTCGTAAATCTTCCTTGAAATAGAATATAATAAAACCGATGGTTTACTGTAATAAGTACATAATCATCTTTTACTAGAAGTGAACCATTTCTTTAAGAATGTACATTATTGTCCAAGAAAAACTTGGTTTTGATGTGGATTACAGAACTCATACTATTTACAAATAATAGCACACTTTTTTTCTTAGTTGATAAAAACCTGATAACCTTTGTCATCCCGACCCCTAATTTAAATCACGTATTTTATCTTATTAGATAAAACGTGGATTAAAATTATTTTCGAATTATTCCTATACCGTTAAAGGCAAGTAAATTTACACGTACAGTATATATTCGTCCTATAATACAGCAATGACATAAAGATAAGTATAAAGTGTCTTTCAACAGGAACAAAAACTAGGTAATTTATCTTCTGCGAAATAAATAGAAACAAGGTTTTGTGTGTGTAATAATATCTGTTTATCAAGTTTAATACGTAAATTGAAGAGGTCGCGTAAGGTCTTTATGACGTGTGATGTTTGTTAATTTTTCGGTATAATTTTTTTCCATTTATTCCGAAGCACAATTAAGATAATAGTCAGAAAAAATTAACGAATAGCAAAAACATGCTGGGTACATCAAAAATCCTTAAAAGGAAATTGATCAAAGGCAATATGTCGACAACAATAATGGTTTTGACAATATAGTGACATAAAGCATCTATTATATGATTTAAAGATGGATCAGCATAAATCCATTTCACTCGTTATTACAAAAACAATTATTTTTCATTATAAAAATCATTTTTTTTTACATAAAATGCATACATGTTAAGATGTCGAATGATTTTAGTATGATTTATTAAGCTCAATCTCAGCTCATTCGTGTTTTGGTTGATACATAAAAGATCATAGGATTTTATGGCTGTAATACAAACAATTTATGCCAAATCGTTCGAGATTTTAGTTTCACAATATTGTATCCTTCAATCCTGCAACAGCTACGGTATGTACATATTAGATATAAATTTATGTCATAAAATACCAAGTTATTGTTTTAAGCGTATATACAGTATTAAGAAAACTTAAAATATCTAAACGTTACGTTATTAACAAAAATGACCCAGTACTTGGATGAACATACCATTAGGGGAAAATTGAATGTATCTAATCATTTTGATTAAGGTATTACAAATCCAAACAGACGAAAAGATACTAGGATTGAAGTGACACGAGTCGGTCATGATTAAAATCCTTACCTTTGATTTTTAAAATCAGTTTAAAAAGGGTATATAAATAAAGGTAGGTCACGATTCTCCTCGTTATCATACACAAGAATGACACAACGAAGCGTTCCTCGTTTAATTGAATCTGTAAAACTCCACAACGCAACTGGGGATGGATACAAAACATATACCCTCATAACCACCTTCGAAGATTTCATACCATCCCCAGAAACTAGCTCGTACATAATTTTTCGTTTCAAAGACGAATATAAGAAATCTCAGAAATCCGAGAAATCCGGTATAATATGGGGTTATATCTATGGGAAGTGTTTAGACTTTATGGATCGCATGAATAATGCAATCTCTGTCGAAAGTACGAACAAAAACATGAATCACTTTGATGATAAAAACTTGAATCCATCGGTCTTCGAAGACACAGGCTACATTTCTGAAAGAAGCTTTGACTCGTTAAACTCCATTCTTCGAGAATATGTAATTTGCCGTATCGATGGTAATAACATACTTACCCTTGTTCGTTATATTAAAGAAGAAGTCCTAAACTCGTTAAAGAAACGTGAACTCGTCCGTAAATACATATGCCGTTACTGCAAAAAATTATATAAACATCCATGCAATTTAAGAGACCATGAGCAGGTTCATTCTAATAAAAGACGTAAGTCTTTTTTTTTTTTAATGAGTTATAATTCACCCAATGTTAATAAGCATTGACAATGATTCTTTTTTTTTTTGTTTCTCCCTAGTGAAATGTCGAATTAAAGGCTGTAAAAAGTCTTATACATTAAAAGGAAATAGAGGACGTCACGAAAAGAGTCATGCTTCTATTCTACAAATATAAATGAACAAAACTCGTTTCATTTTTTTTCCTGAAATTTGAAATATTTTTGTACCTAGTTATTACTGTAGTTGTTATTATATGTATACAGTATACAGTATATAGGTTTCAAAAAACGGTTAAATAAAATTTCTTACTTTCATCGTGGTTTAAATGCCTCGGTGTTAGAAAGAAAGGTCGTTATTGTTCATCGAATGTCTATCTATCAACCATAACTTATAAGATTACGTTTTTTTTAAGAGATGATTATTTGCCATACATACTTTTTAACACTAAGTATTTATCAATTTCATACCGGAACAAGAGTCCGTTTGTGTTGCCGTTCTCAGACCCAATTACTTTGTTAAACATATATGGCGGAATGACATTGCAACAATCCAAATTTTATTGTTAATTTTAATAAGTAACGTTGCACTGTCATCAGTTTGTTTTACAGTATAAAAACGAAATTTGCAACATTTCGTTAGGGATGAAAAAACTGGAAGGCTGTCGTTATCCGAGGAATAGGTCATTAACGATCATATTCAAATTATCGATTCTAAAAAAAAAGTCAATTAGTATAACAGTAGTTATTTATCATGAACACAATAAAAATAATATTTAAAATTTAATATAATAATTTAAAACAATTTAAATTAAATATGATCCGTAAATTAGATCCATGGTCGCTAAATTAAATGAAAATTTTCAAGTATAAGCAAATCCATATTTTTAAAAAGTATTCTTTGAATCTAGTATTGTTCAAATTAAACATTATTTAAATATATGAGTGTTAGAAATTTAATTATATATAATAAAAAAAAAAAATTCAAAATCGAATCTGATATTGTTTTAAAAGTAACTATTATTTAAAAATAATAAAATTTAAAGAAATTGAAATGATATCAATATAAAGTTTATACTTTTTTTTTTAGAGAAAATCAACTTATCTCTTTGAAAAAATCCTTTAACATTTAAAATAATAATAATAATAACATATTTTTGGAAATAGTAATGATAATATTTTTTTGAATAAAATTAATTGTTTGTGGTTGTTAAAAAAATTGATAAAAAAATTTTTTTTAAACAACAAATATTAAAACATTCTATCATATTTTATAAAAAAAATTTATAATTTAAATATCGTGTGAGAGTACAATTTATTTGTGAGGTGTTCCATTTGACGAGGTAAGTGCTTTCTTTATTAAATTACTTTTAGTCATCACTTAAAACTTGTTTTTTTATTAATTAAATGCCAACACCTATATACATTTTCAAATAGAAACTTGAAGAACAATTTAGAAATATTACGAAGGTAAGAGAAAGTCTACTCCTTTCTAGTGCTATTAGATAATAGAATACTAATTATATCATTATTATTTTATCTCTAATGCTGGTGAAACCCCTGTACAAGTGTCGCGAAGTCAAGGATTGCAATTCCGGGGGGCGATCCTCTGTCACGTGACCCAATCGCATGTTACCCATAATTCCTCTTACAATAAATAACAAAAGTTAATCCGAGATTTCAACTATAGATTATTCATATAAATATAATAATGTCGTAAGGAATAATCATTACACAAGGGGGTAACAAAAGCAAATATGTTTTTACCATACTGTATTCTGAATGCAATATTTTAGATATTTTGTTATTTTGTCACATGATATTATTGAAGATTTGATGAGTCGATATTGTAATGAGTATCTTAATGTTAAAATAATATATGAATGTGTCGGCAATACATTTTTTCGTGGATTAAATCAAACTTTTATTTAACCCTGATTATACAAAAATATTTAAATATTTAAAAATAGGGTTATTTTTGGTTTACCACTTGTGTCGCGATTAATATCCTTATAACAATAGTTTAAATTTTAAATAATAGTATTAATTTTTTTTCTAAAAATACAAATCCATTAATAAAGAACTTTTACATGGTTTCTGTTACAAAAAGCACAAATACGGCTTCTAACCCTTGAGGCAGTTTCAATTTGACCAAGGTTTATACTTTAACTTCTTTCCTCCGAATATTTTTAGAACCCTTTATCGCTGCCAATTCTCTTAGGCAAATTTGATTTATTCGTTCAGTCACGTGCACGACTTACAAGAATATGGCACATGGAAAACATGATGAAAGCTTATGTTTTTTTTTAACTACTTTATTTTCATTTCCCCTCTCAAAATACTATCGAATTTTACACGCGTCGAGTGTTTTCACGCTTAGAATTTTCGAAAGAAGACTGGACTCTGTACATATAATCCTAAAATTCGCGTTACATCATACGCGTATTACATTATTTAAAATTATGGAACGAAAATTCATATTCAGCATTTTATCGCCTTCAAAGATAATTGACGTTTATTTTTACTGATATTCGAAAGTTCTCATGATCCAGAAATTTCAAAAGTAAATATGGGAGCACACAACAATATTTAAAATTGATAAAAAGTATATTATTAAATTTTCAAATATTTGTGTTGTTATACATAAACAACTTTAATTTCGGGATTCATCCCGAGATTATCTAATTGAGCAAAAAATTTTATTTAAATTTTAAAATATACAGAAATATTAGTTTTTAATATTGTTTTTTTTATGTTTGTTTTTTTAATGCTATTAGTTGTAAATTATATGCACGTGTTTCTTGTATGTGTTTTTTGATGGCAGAGAAAATCCATTTTTTCTGAAAAAATTTCCCGACAACCGTCAAAATAACATATATATGCTAAAGATAAAACGACATTTCGTTAGACTTTGAACTGATCAGTCTATTATTGATGTATTTTAGTTGAAGAATAGACTTACGTCGATTTTCATTATGCATTATTTTGTGGATTTTTAGATTGCTCTTAAAGTGAAAACTTTTTGAACAGAGAGGACAATAATAATCTGAGCAAAATCCCGGAAGTGTTTCTTGGACCATATCAAATGATTCTGTTAAATTTACCATGTTGTGTTTTAGTAAATTTATTTATTTATTTATAGTTACGTAAATAGTTCAATTACCTTTATAAAGATAATTGTCTTCAACAGGAAAAAAGAGAATATGTTGTTATTTCGGCTTGCTTCAAATAAAAAAGAATAAGATAAATCTTTTTTTCTTGCCCCAAGTATGGTATGAAGATACGTTCGATGAAGTTTCCGAAGTATATATGTTAAATTTAAAAATTAAATTACCAAGGATTTGTGTAATGAATCTTGAATCTTATGTTATTCGTACGCTCGTGATAAGAATGGTTGTGTCACTCAATTCTAAAATCCTTAAATCCTCAAATCCTCAAATCTTATGCGTGTGAATATAACTGGCTGATTTGACACGTTATATTATTGTGCCACAAACACTATGTGCATGCTCAAAAATCATGAACACTTGGGATTTTTGAGCCATATTGATCCGACTATGTTGATTTAAGGCACACAGTTTATGAAATCATTTATGATAATCCAGCTTTTTTAGTTGAACTTGCATACATTACGATTGATCATGCTCAAATCCTTGTACGTACGTATTCATAACTGATGTCCAATCTCATTGGCTTTTTATGCAAAAAAGATACGCATCAAAGTAAATTGTTCAATGGTTTGGTACTAAATTCGTATTTGGAAATAATATACTACATTTCAAAAGGAAAGAGGCGTAGTTTATATGAAAACTGGATGTCATTTAAGTCTTAAAAAAAATCAAGAAACAAACCACTGTATTACGCCATTAGGATCTTGATATTCATTAGCGCATTTGAATAAACAAATATTGTTTTGTCATTGTTACATCTGAGAAAATTTGTCAATATGAATTTTTAAATATTTATGTTTTGAGGTTTCGTCGTTAATCGTGTAAAATTACATTGTGTATCTTTTGGCGTAATAATACAGTATTCCAAGTACTTAAGTATAAATCAAGAATTCGCATTTACTTATTATAACGATAAACCTCCTTTTTAACCACAATAATCTTTCTTTTTTTTTGTATATTTTATAAATGTTGCTGGACGGTAAAAGAACTCATAAATCGTAAGTATAATAAATATTATGCATCTTACATAAAACTGTTGCCGGATCGATTTTCAAAGTCGATTTCAATTAACAATTCTATTAATACAAAAAGTACAATAAAATCAATAAAAAAACATCCGTCACGTAAATAAACAAATAGATAAATATGACATGATGAACCAAATATCTAATCCTGATTTATAGTCGTGCAATAAAGTACAGCATACACGCTCAATAATGTTTTTGAATCACATGGTCGATCGGCCATAGCCTGAAGATTTAAGAATCTAAGTCGTACGTATAGTATAATCACTAAAATCCTTAAAACCGGTATTTCGAACGTTATGTTTGTACAAATTCAAATCCTTCAATCGATTTAATGATTTAAACAAACGATCTCATTCATAGTATTGGTGTCTTCTCGCGGCGACACGGCGCTTCGGATCTTGCGTAACTTTCGGGCAGGGATAAGGGTGAGTATTTTGGGTTAGATAAGGCGGAAAGGGCGTGGGTTTGACGAATTTATGTGGTTTTGGACAACTATTTGGAGTGTTTTCTTTATTTTAGTCAGGAAAAACTAAAATTAATTAGATCGGCGAGGTGAATATTGTCGTTGATCATCTCTCCTCTTAACTGTATACTGTATAGTAAAAATTAAAGTTTGAAATTTTTTTTGTGGTTTTTTTTTTTACAAAAAAAATGGAATTACAAAGGCAATATGCAAATTAAATCCTTGGATTTGCACAAAAAATCATCATGCAAGTTGTACAACATACGGAGAGCTTCCTTGTCTCAGGCTCTTTGATTGGTACTAAAAAAGGGCTCTCACTGGGTGTCCGATAAAATTTTCGGGATCTTAATTACTTCTTTATACTGTAAACCGGAATAAGTTTATGACAATATAAAGATCAGATCAGAAACTTTATTAGTGAATGCATTGAAATACTAAGATTTCACTTCTCTCATAAAGTATACTGTACATGATAGTAGAATTAATATTCTTGTTTGTAATGAAGATTTAGGATTGAG